TAATACCTGATGGGCTAATCTTGCATCTGCCCACAGTCCCTGGGTGTTACAAGGTGGCTTGGCCCAGGGACCACTTAGGGTAAATGTTGGGCCTATAGAGCCCATGTGATGGGTTTCAGGGGGTGCACTGTCCATAACAGTGTATTTGGCCAGGCTTTGTAACAAAGGCTGGGCTGAACCCATGTGGCTGATGTGTAGATCAATGTTTGGGTCCCACGCCTCACAAGGAAGCCCAACTGGGCAGTAGTTTGGAAGGCTAAGTGAGCACCCAACCCGAATGGGCCTAAAGCCCATTTCGAACTGGGCTGATTTGATCAGTTAAATAAGGGGGGGATTCTGAGATTGGATTAGCAGATAGGATTGGGTCTTAACCCTATCCACTCAGAGAGTTCAGATCTAAATGTGATTCAGATCTGGAAACATCCTAATGAGATTAGGAGAAGGCTGATCTAATCTGCAGATAAGATAAGGGTTTACCCTTATCACTTAAAGGGAATTCTGATCCAAATATGATTTGGATCAGCAACTCCTAATGGGATTAGGAGCTGATCCTTTTAAGGTTATAAAAGGGGGAGGGGGCGGCAATCTTTAGACACACAAGTTCACCACCTGTCTTCAGAGCTGATATCACAGAAGAGAGAATTCAGCACATCTGCGAAAATTCTCTCTTGCCGCCTCCTTCCTGCCGCCGCCACACCTGCCAGTTCGATCTCCAGTTCAGTAGGAGAAATCATGATTGGATCTTGATATCAGTTCCTTGTGAAGGGACTAATAGGAAGCTGTGCTCACGTGCCATCCTGCTAATTCTTGCGAAGGATTAGGTTCTTGGGAAGAACACTGTTGATTATGCTCCATCCTACATTGCGCCATATTCAGTGGGAGCAATCTTTGGATCCTTGCTTGGGCGTGAACACCTTCGTTGGGAGATATTATTTCTCCGTATCAAGTATATCCCTCTCCTGCTTTTGTTCAGATCTGGTTCGATTCTTGGTTCAAGATTGATCATTGAAAAATATGATTTTTCTAAAATAGGGAATACGATTCCCAGTAGGATGGAGAGAAATTTTTTGAAATTCGCCCATTCTACTCCGCAAGATTCGGGCGTCCATGCGATGGATATCTCATCCCTTCACTTTTCACTGTTCCATTTGCCTTGTTTAATTTGAAAACACCCATTTACTGGTTCTTTCCCTTTAGGAAAGCCCACTAACTTACAAGTATCATTCTTATGGAGGGCATTAATCTCTTTCTTCATAGCATTTGTTTATTTAGGATAGGTTAAAGCCTCTGCAACTTTTTTTGGTATGGGAAAACTATCAACAACAGATAAAAAAGCATGATAAGAGGGGGAAACATGCTCATAGGACACAGTGAGTAATGGGGTGTACGGTAGCGCATAACCTCACACCCTTTCTATGAGCAATGGGAACATCAAGGTCATTTACACCATAGTTTTCAAGGCACCAAGGTGAGGCTAGGTGAGTGTGTGAGACATGTTGTTTAGAAAGATAATTTATGTGGTTAAAGAGCTTGATTTTGCCCTTAGTCATCTTATGAGACTTTATTGTGATAACGAGGCATCTATAAGTGTTGCACATAGTCTGATTCAACATGATTGTACCAAATATGTGGAAGTTTATAAACATTTTGTTAGAGATAAGATCGACTTGAAAGAAGTTTGTCTCTCATATGTCAAAACTAAGGCAGTTTTTTTGTACAAATGTTAGGGCGTCCCTCAAAAGCAATGCACTACACCTTAACCCAAGTGTAGTATGCAAGGGTGGTGCACTTACAGTTTGATTCTATTATTTCTAGCTGTTTATTTACTGCCTATATAGCTGCTGGTTACTTTATTTTTATTGCTATTTACTGCTGTGTTTTATTTCTTTTTTTAACATTGGGTGGGAAGGGGTATAATGATCATTGCATTACTGCATTATATGCAATATAAAAAAATATGAAGGTGTCGCAGCTAGAACCTTTTTCTTCTTCTTTATTTCCTTATCCAATTTCTTCTGTTTTCAATTTATTCATTCGATTTTAGCAAATTAAGTTTGTCCATATGTGATTGAGGCCATAGTGGAGAGATCATTTAACATCTTACTTAGGTCATTTTGCCATCACCTTCTTTTGCTTTTGTTGTGCTTTGCTAAGTTTTTAAATCATCATCAATGTATGTATGGTTGCTGACTTGCTGCATAAGATGCATGGAGGCAATTGATACAATAAGAAATCATATACAAGTCTAAAGCTTGAGGTCTCATCCCAATTTGTAATGATAGACCGCAGAAAAGAAGAAAAGAAACATCATGAAACAGTTGTAGCCAACCAAGATTAGAAGGTTTGTTTCAACTTTTATGTAAATGCCTTTTCAGAACATCTCTATAAATATATGCATTGATTCTTTCAATCACATAAATCTTAATTAGGCAGAAAGCAACTGATATCTAAAAAACCAAAGGAAAAAAGAAAATACTAGCAGTAGATAAGGATATATGTGTATAGTGAAAAACCTAATTAAATATCAAAACTACATAAATAAATGGGAGAGCAAAGTAGTTGAAGCATTCTCTCTCTCAAAAGACATTTTATGGAATCCATTTTCCTCTGCTGCATTTATATATCTGATCTTTTCCCCTGCTTATTTGAAGCATTTCCGTCAAGAATTGCTTTTTGTTATTACCATCTAATAATCTCTGTTGCTATTAGGGAGTCTATTATTATTTTTACCAGCTTTTTAAAAACAAGGCAGAGGCTGTTGCAGTTGCCCGGAAAAGGAAAGGGCTTGGTGATGGTACTGTTGGAATGTTAACATGGCTTGTGGTGGCAGCTATTGCTGGGTAAATAATCTGGTTATCACAAATAAAAGGGGGCTCAAAAAAAGCTCCTTAATTTCCATATTTTCTTTCTCAATTATATATTGATTGATCTGGGATGTTTGTTGAGATACAACAAATTCCATAATGGGCAAAGTTGAAGATGTACCAATTTTAATGTTAATTGGATGCTACAATGCATTACCTTGTTAACTACAATGCATTCCCTTTGATTTTGTATGCTTGTTAATTTGTTATTTAGAAATCCATTGACTCTGAATGTTATCCCTGTAGAGAATTGCAGTCAATCCTGAAACCAACCCTAAAACCGTGTTCATCGTAGTCTGCCTTTTATATCTCAAACCTGAAGAATACCTTCTAAAACCCAAAATCATTTTGGTCAAGAGTCTCTCTCTCCCATTCCCCATACATATATTATTTGAACTATATCAATACGGTACAGGCATATTTACCTTTATTTAAGTCAACCACAACATTTTCTTTTCAAGACACAAAACCTATTAGATCATCCAAACAAGACAAACTCTTATATTATTTAAGTATTAATTTAAGATGTCAAAACTCGGGTAGTTAGGTCAGGTTAAATAGTTCATTTCTTTGTATTATTATTATTATTACTATTATTATTATTATTATTTACTTGAGTGCCTTATATTGCAGGTCCTTAAATGTATTGCTGACGAATCCAATATGGGTTCTTGTGACTCGAATGCAGGTACTTCTGGGATGTCACATTTCTAGAAACTCTTCTTGCATTTTATAAATGTTGATTTTATTATTAATCATGTCTGAAACCTAAATGTCAACCATTTTACTGATAAACAAGTATTTTTTTCTTTACTGCATACTAATGACCGAAGAAATGTGATGTAGGACAGGGTAGGGGTCCTACAAATTTCAAATATAGTGGTGGGATTTGTGGAGTGGAGGCGCTTTGGGTGATTAAAGAGGAAAAAATAGGATTGAAAAGGAAGTAGACATCTTTCTGTTCACTAAACAATGAGCAAGAAATTAGAAAGACAACTCTTGTTGTTTGGGTAAACAGCAAAGAAATATATTACTTAGAAGAAGATATAGATGAAATAGAGAGGGGAAAAGGTTGGGGCAATAATCAGTTTGAAGATCTTAGATTGGGTGTTAATTCTCCCAGAATTTGAAGGCTTCATAAAAGAAGACTTTGGTTCGAATTTCTGGTGTACTTTGAATGTCTAATTGTTGTATTAGTGGTTTAGTGTGTTTTGATTTCTGAAGTTTCTTTCTTATGTTGGAGGGTGATACCTTGTCACCTAAGTCTTATGTACCTTTTTATTATTTAATATTTTTTTCTTTATTTATCTTCAAAAAAAAAGAGGGAAAAAATAAAAAAATTCCTGTCAACAACCAAAACTATTAAACTAAACTTTGTTTCAGCAAATAAATCCTTCCTAAATTACATTCACAATGACTCTATTTATTGACAAGCCATGAGAACTGATGTTCTTTTACATCACTAACACCTTATTACTCCTACTAAGGCTAACATAATGTAAAGACACCAACGATTACAAAAAGTAATATGGTGCTGGAGAAAGGTTTGAGCTTAGAACTATCTTAGAGGGGGAGGATGTGACCTTGAGAGCAGAGGAGGAGGGTAGAGTGTTAAGATTGGAAATGGGAAGGCAGGGGAAGTTAATGATAAAGAGATTCAGAGTAGTAGAGCAGATGTAATCAGGAAGTTGAAGAGTCAGACGGAGGTTGAAGATGATGTAGTGTCAGGACTGGGGGTGAAAAGTAAATTTGGAAGAAGTAAGGGGGTGATACAGGTTGGAGGACACATGGCTGGAGGTGGTGGTAAGAGAAGGGAAGATGAAGGGTTGAGTGGTAGAAGTTAGAGAAGGGAAGGGGAAATGGGGAATAGGGATTTTGAAGTAGGCAAGGGGGAGGGGGGTGTAGTTTGGGGAAGTTAAAGGTCTTAAGGGGAAGGAGTAAGATAGGAAAGTTAAAAATTTAAAGAGCCCAGGGCTGTCGAGTAAGTGGAAAAAGGGGCGACAATAAGGAGACGGGTGAGTGAAGCTTCGGTTTGGGTTGTAATGAGATATGAGAATGGTGAGTGTAGAGAGACTGGGCCGAATGGCCTTAGTTTTCTTTTATTTAAGTAGCTTTGTTTCGGCTGTTATTTCTGCTGTAGTGGGCCTTCTTTATGGGCCTAATTTTTATTTCTTGTTTATTGTCCAAGTCAGCTGCCCAACTAAGGGCACTCTTGTAACTTTACATATGTTTTTGTTTCAGCAGATATAAATTAAATTAGAGAGACAAAGAAGGGGGGATCAAACAACTCTATATTCTCTTTTCTTCCATTCTCTCATCTTCCTTCTAAGCTTCTGCTGAAACTCTTCTTCTCTTTCTTTTCTTTCTACTTTATTTTATTTTCCGATTTATTACAGGTGTGTTCTGCAACTTGGTGTTAGAGCAGGTTCCCACCTTCGACAACTTCTTCCTTTTTGACCCATACACATTGTGTATGGAGAACTGATCAGCTGATTGATTAGTAGCTTATGTAGCCCAGTTTGGGAGGGTTTTTGGAGAGGATTTTACCCTTAGTTGAAGCCCAAGGCAGGTTCTTGGAGATTTTCTCAAAAACCCTAGATAACTAGTGAAACTATGTTGCGGGTTCTAGAGACACTTTGAAGCTGGCGCTTGGGGATTAAAGGGAAGCTTTTTGGGTTTCCTTTGAGATCGATTCAGGTTGGACAGTGCTCTGGAACCTATGGCAGGAACAGCTGTACTTTCTCTCATATCTCATTCTCTCGTGCTGTCGGTAATGCTTGATTAGTAAAGCCATGATTTAATTTTCATTTGCTTTCGTTCAATCAATGGAGTAAACTGGAGGGGAAACCAAATACCCCACAAATTCTGGGTTTGGGCATAAAGGGTCTGTGGAGACTCTGTTAGTAGAAGTAACCACTATAAAGTTGGATGGAACCAATTATTTGGCCTGGTCTTGGTCTATAAAGATACATGTGTGTAGTAGAGGGAAATGGGGGTACATCACCAAGAGCAAGAAGAAACCTGTTGAGGATGAACGGAGACCTATTCCCAGAAGTTGATTGTTATTTGAACCTACAAACAGAAGAATGGTGTGAACAATCTAAGATAGGGGGAGAAGCCCTTAGCCGTCTACTTCTCCATGCTGAAATCTCTCTGCAGGAGATTGACTTGATGGAGACTGTTGTATGGGGGTGTACAAAAGATGCTGAAACACATAGGAAGTTGATGGAGAGAACTTGGGTTTTTGAGTTCCTCACTGGACTCAAGCCGGATGTTGTATGTGAGTACTGCAAGAAGCCCAAACATACTAAATATACCTGTTGGAAGCTACATCCAGAGGTCATGTCTACCAAATTCAAGAATGGAAATAGTGGAAAAAGGAATGGGAGTGGAAACGGTGGTAATGCAAATGTAGTCACCTCCTCATACATTGAAGGTGTACTTGGAGCAAACTCAGACCAACTTGCAGAGACAATATCAGGGCAGAGTGACTAATCCACATGTTGAAATACAAAGAGAGAAGGGACAGTGCGGCGATCACTAGACAGCTTAATAAGCAACGGGGCATGCTCTGAATACTGTCTGTTAAGGAGAACCGCTGGAGAGGTGGCATGATCTATAAACCAGGCCGAATTCACAAGGGCTCTATCTAGGCGAGCCCACACACAACTGTTACCATCCTGATTATTACACCAAGTATATTTAGAACCAGAGAAGCCTAGATCATGTAAACCAGCAATGTAGACAAATCTTGGAAATCGCTCATGGCAACTGTGTTAGGGGCAGACCACCCAACTTCTCACCCGGATCTAGAATAGCATTAAAATCTCCCACCACAAGGCAAGGAAGTTGCAGAGAGTTCACAAAGGAGCCAATGAAATCCCACATGATTCTTCTATCAACAATATCGCATTTAGCATGAATAGAAATCAAAATGAAAGGGTTGATCCCTGGTATTTCTACCAAACAGCATAGAGCTTATTCAGAGGCATTAAATATATTGTAATGGACGCATGCCAAAACAGAACTAGCTGAGGGTTTACATCATCATTAGTTACAAAAAAATCATATTTAGTCTGAGAGCAATGCGGGAAAGTTCCCTCCAAGCAACCTTAGGTTCAACAATAGAGAAGGTGCCAACAGAATGAAGCTTTCTTAGCTTTTTAAGTCTCCGGATTGTGGGGTTGTTCCCTAATCCGCAGGCATTCCAATGGATGATCTTCATATTATAAAGAGACAAAAGTCATACCTGGACCCACATTGGATCTGGTAGTTGCCTTTTCCTACTGCTCACCGGGGCATTTGATTTCTTCTTTTTATCTTGTCCGGATTTTTCCACCTCTCCTTCAGATAGAGCTGAAGTGGTATTAACTTCAGGTGATGAGACCTGGGATTGATCATTAGTGAATTCAACCATATTCTTGCCTGAAAGTCTCATTAGTGAGAGCTGAAGTGGTATTGAACTTGTGGACCAATTCTTGCCTGAAAGTCTCTAAGTTCATTAACTGTGACCTCTTTGAAATCGGCCATTCTTTCAGAGAGAACAAGGAAGCTGTTTTTTTTGCCTCCAACCAGAATGGAATCATCTGCTGAGATACCACATCATGGATTTAGAGAAAGGAGAGATAATTCTTCTAGATCACTGGACTTATGTCATATATTTACTGGCACTGCTTCAGTCTCCGTGTGAATACCTGTATCTGAGGGATCTACCTGCTTCTCTGTTTCAGTTGAAAGATCCAGAATCTCATTGGATCTTATCTCATTTGCTACATGGGTTCAACCACTTGAGTTTCTTTACCTTTTCTAGGATCACGCACTAGGACCGTCTTTGTTTTGTACATATTTTGTTTCAGAGGGTTTCTTAGGAAGTTGCACAGAACCCTTGGCCCTTTTCTTTTCTTTCTTATGTTTACAATCATTGGAGCTGTGACTGATCTTATAACAAGATTCACAATAAGCTGGGAGATTCTCATATTCAATAGGCTGCCAGAAGCCATCACAACCAGAGCCAATCCAGACTCTTTCCGGGTGAGAATGTAGCAGGTCAAGTTCAATACAAACCCTAGCCGCCATCATCCTAGAAAGGGTGATGGTGGCCGGATCAAATTTCAGAACGGGTCCAACGGCTTGAGCAATGAATCGGAGTAATCCTTCCACATAAAAATTAACCAAGAGGTAAGGAAAATTAATCCATACTGGGACGATACTGCATTCCCAACCAGGTTCGAAGTTGGGAACCCATTTGAACAGTAAGAAAATAAAGGGTTTTATTCAAAAATCTTCCCTAAGCCACATTCAAATAATCTTCCTCTGCAAATCTGATTAAAATATGCTTGGAATCTAAAGCAGTAACCCAGATTTCATTCTTCAAAGAAAAAGGCTTACAGATAAAATCTTTCAACGTAGGGAGAGCAGGTCGTCCACACATGCATTTGCTTATCAACGCCCACTTGAAAAGGTCATATGACTGCTGGTTCACCCTGCTTCAACATGGGAGAAATAACTGGAACATTTAGAGAAGGTGTTTCGATTGGAGAGAGTTTGGAGAGAATAGCCGCAAAGGACGGCTTCTGAGGAGGATCTTCATTGGGATTCGTCATGGTGAGAGAGGAGGAGAGCGGCGCCTAGGGTTTCATGCCATCAAAAGTTATTCCTTTAAGCTTCTTATTAGTTAAAGCTAAAGATGACCTGGTGAGAGCTGTTTTCACTTACTAATCTCTTGTCCATTTGTCATTTGCATTTGGAATTGGTTTTCCTCTCTTCTTAAGTGCAGGTGGAAAACCCCAGGTAGGTGTGGCTGACCTCTTTGTTTCCTCAATTTTTGGCATTTCTAACAAGAGAGCAAGGTTAATATGAGGGTGTACTCAAGCTGCTGTCTTATGGACAGTGTGGGAAGAAAGAAACACAAGCATTTTTAAGGAGCAGGGAAGAAGTATGGAATTACTAATTGAATCTATTTATGTGAAGGTGGCCCACTGGGCAAAAGCTTCTGATCTTTTCTCCCCTTTTTCTTCTTCCGACATCATAAGGAAATAGGACGAGGTAGTGGATACTTCAACTAGTAGGGGTTTAACAGTCAAAAATTGGACACCACCTCCGAAGGGCTTCATAAAGTTAAAATTTGATGGCAGCAGTGTAGGTAATCCAGGGCAATCAGGTGTAGGTGGGGTTTTCAGGTGTAAAGAGACTGGGCCGAATGGGCCCTAACAGTCTTTCGTGTGATATCTTTTATTTTATGTTGATGGGCCTCACTTAATGGGCCTGTTATTTGTTCTTATTTTATTTTCTTTATGTAACTGCCAAGCTGGCCRCCCACTTAAGGGTATACTTGTCATCATCAATATTTTAGAGATTAATAAAATAGGGTTAGAGGAGAAGGGTGATTAATTCGACTTCTTCTTCTCTTACCTCTTTTCTTCGCCATCTTCCTCTCTTATACAGTTATTCAGATCTGTTCTATTCTGCTAATCACTAAGTTTAATCTTGATATTAGAGGACTGATTTACATCTTCAGTGATGAGGAAGGCTATGCAATTGCTTTGTTTTCTAGGTTGAATGGGGTTGGGGACTCATTGAGGGTAGAAGTGTTGACTGTGATGGAAGGGGTTAGTGGAGCAAAGGAAATGAGCATACGGAGATTAATAATAGAAGGGGGAGTCAAAGTTGGTGATAGGCTGGTTGCTGAATAATGATGAAGCTATGTGGTCTTACAGGAATGAGAGATCAAGTGCATGAAATGGGTGACGAGGAACATGACAGTTACAACACAATGTGTTGAGAGGTCAGCCAACGTAATGGCTGATGTTTATCTTAACAAGGGGTTTCAAGGGATCATTTGTTTTATGCTAAGTTGTAAACTGTATAATTGGGGAGGGGTATAAGCCAATGTATGATCTAAATATCACTAGGATGGTCAGTCGAGGCTGACTGTTTGGATGCTTTTTTGCACCTTATAATTTACTTTAGTCAGTACTATTTTTATCATACTGACAAAAAATTATCAGTTTTAACCAATGTATCTGGAGTATAACACATCAGAAAATTGTAATTATAATTTCTCAGTTTTCTTTTTTATTGGGAGAATTTGTATACTGTCAAGAATTTTACTGTTTAGAAAATGGAATATCTGATATTTGAGTGGTTTACATGGCACTGATAAACTGCCAATATATATTTGTATTTCCATTAAATTTTTAGGTCTTTTTAAATGCATTGTGGAACCAACTGACGGTCTTTTTTTTGGGGGTAGACACATACTCAAGCAGAAAGGAAAATTATGGAGGCAAAGAGAGAAGCTATATTGAGGGAAGCTTCTATAAGCAATTCAACAGACCTTTCAACTTTGCAAGACAAGTTGGATGAACTTGATTCGATCAAACCTCGCCCATATGGAACAACTTATGCGGTCAGTAGCATTATTGTTGCCATTACCTGCTATTTCAGTATATGATTCAAAAGGGCCATTTCCTGGTGTAATGTTGCAATCTTCTGGCTGGCAAGCGTGAGAACGCTTTTCGAGTCTGAGAGCAGCCACTTTGTGCAAAAAGAATGGCAAAGGTTCGGTACATATTCAGTCCACCCCTCCCAAAAGACCTTAGATAGCTTGGACCAACATTGGGTAATGGCCTTTTTATTCTATGAATCTCCATGTTACCTGTTATAGTTGTCTTTTTGCAATAGACATGTATTTCACTAAGTTTCTGTTTGTGGTAGCTGTAAAAAATTGTTTTTTTTTTTGTTTTCTTTTCTGGATCTGTGAATGCAGTTAAGCTGTTTGGTTATCCAAATGCTATAGCGTCTGAGAAATGCCTATTTTACAAATTGACCCCTCTTGATTAATCTATGTGTATGTGTACATAATTTGTAAAATGCAGTTGTTAAAAGGTCCTGAATGACGTGGATCAGTGCCATCAATATTAAATAGATAAGGTGTTAACTATCAATCCATAGCATAACAGTAATAGTAGAGAGAAACAACACATGGTATAACAGTAACGACAATATAACTATACCAGTAATTATAGTAGAGAGGAGTATGCCATAGCATAGCAGTTGATAGAGAAAAACAAGCATTTGTATAACAACAATGATAGAGATAAACAGGCAAAATCATCCATCATAAACACTTCATTATGTGACCAACCAAATCCCCACAAAATTAGTCCTGGCCACTCCACCCTAACCATCCATCATATAGGATAATTTATACCTTGAAAGAAAATAGAATTAACACAGCACAGATTGGTGTCTAGATTGTGATCATGAAGTGTATGTATATGCTTATGACAGTTCTAGAGTTGACTAGGAATTTAGCATGTGATATACTGTCCTAGTAATAAACTCATTATTACAAATGTTATCAAATGGTTGTTTTTTTGATATGTAAATTTGTACCTTCTTATTAATTGGTAAAAAGAATATATAAATTGGTTATGGAAAATATGAAAACGATTTCACTCTCATGAATCTGTCTGGACTCTTCCAGATCTATTACTTCCATTCCTTTAAATTTAATCTTCTCCATTGTGTTCATTCCATTTGGATGCATTTATGTCCTTAAAAACAGATCATTGTCTTGTTTTTCTACATCAGTTGATATCTTCTCTATTATGAGTTTTCCTTTTTTCTGCTCAATTTGTTTGGTGTGCAAAATTTGGTTTTACCATACCTGCTTCCCCATTTATTTCTCTGTAGATGGATCTTACTAAAAAAAGCAAATGGGTTGTAAGGTGGATATTTACTTACTGCAAAACAAATGGGTGTGGTTTGGATCTTATATGCATCTAATTCCTATGTCTTAATTTTATGTTTTACGGCTTATGATTATTCTTGTTAGTGATATTTGAAACAAGGGGAAGAGGTATGGATGGTAGGGGTAAAAAGTAGTGATCTAGATGGTTGCTTAGAGAGTAGAACTCTGTGGAAGCGAACGGAAACATGACATTGAAGGGAGGAGAGAAGTTTCTGACTGTGACGAAGTGGAGAAGGGAACTATAAGTCGAAGCCAAGAAGTTGATATTTGAAAGTTGTAGAAGTCAGGGTTTGTGTACATTGAAGATTAGGGAGGAAAGGAAAGTGACAATATTCCTCGTTGGAGAAGTTGTGTAGTGGTTGGAAGGCTTTATTGATGGTGCAACATTTTCTATTAGAATGCAAGGTTGGAAAGTTCTCTGTGTCCTTCTATTAGAAAGTATGAGGCAATACTGCGATGGAATAGAAAAGGGTGATTCATAACAGTGACAGCTCTTCAAGGGTGGAAAAAAGCAGATGTTATGTTTTCCAGAAAGGAAAGGCACTCATGGAGAAGATACACCAATATTTGATCCATGTTGCTGAAGAATCGTTGGAGAAGCAGCAGATTGAAGAGGAAGCAGGTGAGGCTCGATCAAAGGGGTTGGAGGATAACCCAAATTATTCGAAGGATGCTTCTGGTTCTTGCGGTGGGCAATGAAGCCTCAGAAATCGATGCTCATCTCAAGCTCGAAAAAAATACCAAAAGTTCTAATGGAAGTGGAAAGAGGGGTTTGGAAGAAAAAGGTATTGTATTGGGTGAAGACAACAAAGTTGTTTGGTGATTTTACTGTTGATGATATTACAAGGAATTGGGGAGTTATTGCAGCATCATCTTCAGCAAAGAAGAAACAAGTGAAAAAGTGGAGCCTCCAGGGAATGCTTTCTTTAAACTAAATTTTGGTGGTAGCTGTTTTCGTAATCCGGGTGCTGCTGGAATGGGAGGGGTGATAAGAAATGACAAAGGAGATCTGGTTTTTGTGTATTCTGGACCTCTAGGGGAAGGGGACTCCATGGTTGCAGAATTGAAGGTGGCTGTGTTTGGAGTTAAAAAGCTTGGAGATAGGGATCAGAAAGTTGGTGATCGAAGGAGACTCAAGGTTGATCATAAGCTGGCTGAATCGAGAGGATAAGGTTCCGTGGTATTACAGAAATGAGCTCAGAAAATTCAAAAGGTTCTCAAAAGATATGCTGGTGGTTATGCAGTGGGTTTCTAGATCAGCAAACTGCATTGCTGATCATTTGGCCAAACAAGGGGTTAATAGAGGGAATTGCTTTTGGGCTTCTTTGTAAGATAAGAAAAATGTTCTGATATTGTTCTGAGTTGTTCTGGGGTAGCCGAGGCTACTCAAGATGTTGTAAATTTATCCTCTAATTAATAAATCTATGTATTCTGTTGCTGATAAAAAAAAGTTACAGATAAAAAACACAACGGCTATCTTACCTCTTTGTGAAAATAGAGCTATTATTGATATTGGAAATGAAGAAGTGAATGTCATAATGGTCAAAATTGAGATAGGGGTGGTGTTGTTTGAAAGGTGGCAGATGTGCTGCAATGAAAAAGATATTACTGTTTCAAGCACTAGAGTGAAGATGGTTGGGCTGTCATTTAACCTATGGAAGGAAGATTTTATTGCAAATATAGTTATAGTTCTAGGGGGAAAGTTGGAGGAGGTGAGCTTCGATGATCCATTTATCGTAAAGTTCAGGATGGCCGGAGTGAAGCCGGAATGCATCCCATGTTCTTTCGATCTATTGATTGAAGGGGCTATGGAGGAGGGTCTGGTTTGCAATGGAAATCAAATTGTCTCTCTGGTTAGGCATCTCCAAGGTTGAAGATGAAGCTGAGTTGGCAGAGTAGTTCCCATGTGGAAGACAAAGAGACGGGGAAGGGGGGAGTGGAACAAAGTAAGCTATTTTGGAAGGAATACAGTCTAATGAACTAGAACGAGAGAATGCCATACCATTTAAAGAAAAAAAATTCAAATAATTTTAAAAACAGTGAAAATAGGGCGGGGTTAAATTCTTGTGTCAAGGTGGTCAAAATTGGAGCCCGCTTTGACACTGGGTGGGGTCCATAGAGGTTAACGAAGAAACAAGCTTTTTTTTTTGAATTGGTTGTTGGCTAGACCAGGAAGGTTCCCAGTCCAAGTGTATGTGGGGGTTAAATTAAATGGCTCATGTGACTCTTTAAACAGTCACGTGAGTTGTGGCCCTTTGATTCCGACTGGAGACGTTAAACTTGGTCTGTCATCTTCCTAATTAGCTGCATTAGAGAAGCTTGATAAGTCTAGTATGAAATCTGGTTTGAAACAAGCAATGCAATGGGTCTGAAGAGAAACAATAGTGGAAACAGGCCATGGTGTCTCTATAGAGGATCGCCCTAGCTTGAGGTATACCAGGGAAAGATCGAAGGAGAAAGAAATGGTAGACGGGGGTTGGCTGAACTATGTTGAAGACTTGGAGTCAGACACAAGTTTGATGATTGGAAGTGTAGCAAGGGTGGATTCAACAGAGGAGCTGGTTGAGGACCTCCACCTTTATGAACTTTTTGTTGAAGACACAAGAGCTCCTGAAACAACCTATGCTCGGAGTTAGGTGGTAGTTGGAAGTAATGCTAAAGCGGCTGAGGAATATTTGGTAGTTGTGGAGATAAACCATAACCCAGGTATTGAAGACCCACTCCCAAATAGGGACTTGAGGTAGGGTGTCCGTAAGGGGGATGTGGTGAACCACCAGAAGCTGAACAAGGAAAATCTAGAAAAGGGTAAGCTATAGAATATTGGAAGTAATTTGCAAAGTGTCCTTTGTACAAAGAATGGACCACAACATACCCAACCTAGTAAAGCCAATGAAAAACTCTGACTCAAGGAAAGTCTTTTAGCCCCTCTTCTGCGATCCAACCAGGTATTTCTATGAATTTGTTTTTGGGTACTGATGTGTGTCTTGTGACCGCAACTTGTAATTCAGCTTCTCAGGTTGCCCATAAGCCGCCAACTCCAACCCTTGACAAGGCAGCAAGAAGAGATGAGAATGGGTGTGAGTCTGAGGGAGAGTGGGCCAGTGGGGGGAGAGAATTTAGGGATTAGTTGAGAAATTTCTGGAGGAATTAAAAAAAGAGAGAGCTAGAGAAATGAAGGTATCTTACCTATCAATAGAGGAAGGTATCTTGGTCAGTATATTGACAAGATGGATATATTGTCAAATCTAAAGATTTAAGGGAAGAGAAAATAATTGGATGTGAGGAAACATAGATGACTTGATTAGCTGAATTTGTGTGGAAGCTCGGTTGTAAATTAAAAGATCCAAATGACATGGAAATCTTTTTAGAAAAGAAGAAGGAAGAAGGGAAGGTAAGGAAGAAAACGATGAGTGCGGTGGAAAGGTTAAAATTGGATGTGGAAGGTGATAAGGACTTTAGTGAAGGGGGGAAGAAAATGAGGGAGTAAGTGAGTGTTGGTGTGTGGTGGGATTAAGAAGGAAGAGGTTAGGAATGAAGATTGTCAGTTGCAATGTTCGAGGGTTAGCGAATGCTAAAAAGAGAGCTTTGATAAAGGAGTTAATCAGGAAGGAGAACCCAAATATTGTATGTAGTCCAGCAAGGGAAAAATAAAA